TCCGCAGACACCTGCCTTTCAAACCAAGACAGACACTCATGACAAAACATCTGCCACGCTAAAAAATCTTCCCTTACGAAAGGAAAAGGCTCTCAGAGCAAGGGCTCTGGAAGATCCCAGGGTACAAAAACCAGCTTACGGAGGCACTTACCTATTACTGAGTTGCTATTTCTGTTGACAGGTTTGGGAGGAGGGATGGGAGGCTGTTTGGCAGGAGCTGTGCTGGTTGTACTCGTGGGAGCAGTAGTGTTGGCACTGGCAAGAGCAGGGGGCAGAGTCCTGGGGGCCGGGGAAGGGGCAGCTGTGGGATTGACTGTCTTTGCTGCACCAGGGGCTGCGGCGGAGGGTGCAGTTTTTGCAGTGCTGCTGGCAGGCGCTGGGTCCTTCGCCTGTGCTTCATTTGCCTCCTGAGAAGTGGAGGGGGGTCTTTTTGGAGGAAGCAGAGGCTGTCTGGGAACACACGGCTCCTGAAGCGGTTCCAGTTCGGGCCCAGAGTGGCTGCTGGATGAGCCTGCAAAGGGAGACAGCTCGGGTTAAGAGACTGGAGGGCCCAGAGCAGGGCAGGAGGAATCCAATGAGACTTCAAAACTGCTCCTGGGAGAACCTGAAGCAACCGATTTTGCACACCTCTGGTTTCTTACCCTGCCTTTTCTTTGGTTCCTCAGCTGGAACAGGCTTCCTAAGGCTGGATGGCTTTGTGGCCTCTTCCTCCTGGCTGGCCAGGTTACAAACCCCGGGACCACCAATTGGGACCGTGTGGCCGTTCTTCAACGCAGACGGGTTCAGCTTGTCTGGTTCTTCACCATCTGCAAGGGGATGCGAGGGGAGAGAAGCAAACGGAAAACACTCAGAAGGCAGGAGACGGAGGAGATATGGCTGAGCCAACGGAACCGCCATCGATCCACACCAACTTCTGCCTGGCTTCTGAAACGCCTGGTCTTCACTCTACCTTCTGCAGAGGAGCACACAGCAACAGCAACTAGCTGAAGCTGACAGCCCTTGATTGCATTTTCAACAAGCAAAACAGTACAGCACTGTATCCCATCAAGTGTTTTTCTTCTTCAGCAGCCTCTTAGATCTACCATCTTGTTTGGAAAGAATGCTTCTGCATTCAAGACTAGTATGCCCGATGCTGTGCCACAGCCCAAGGAAGCCACAGTTGCAGTTAAAACCCTCCAGCAGCTTTTTTATCCACCCGCCTTTACGGAGCATTCACAACATTCTCTCCTGCACTACAAATTCCGACACGAGGCTAGTCAACTACTGGGCATGCAGTAATAGTTTTTGATAAAATCTTAAAATTAGTCGAAGCACCCCTATTTTCCTTCTGTTTCTACGCTGAATTTGGCACAAAAAAAATCATGGCTCTACCCAAAACATCCCACAGGAAGGCGTATTTCCTCACTTTTTAACCTTTGCTTTAATCAGACGACATGATACATCTGATGTAGTTCATCTTGACTATTTCTGCTTTTATACATGCAGTTCCCCAAATGTTAGAAGCAACACCTCTTTTGGAAAACAAACCCATCCTCTTTTCAGCCCATGCTTTTGAGAGCACTTAAAGCCCTAGCCACAACAACTCAACCATTCTCTGCCTCTGTAATTGCCCTGACAGGACAAACTCTTGATAATATTATTGCCAAATTCAGACTTAGCATCCATTCTAACGTGGCGTTGCCCACTTTGTCTGCTTTTTAACTCAACTTGAACAGCTACATCACCAATTGGATTAAAAATCCTCAGCATCTTCAGCCTCTACCATCTCTCAAGCAATTGCAGTGTAGGCCACCACGGGTCCCCAGCACGCTCTGTTGCTCTGATTTTTCATGATTTATTCCACTGCCCTCTTTGCTCCTCCTCTCCCCCACAAGGTATTACCTCTCCTTCCCTAACCTGGTGTTTGTTAGTCAGAAGCTGAAAGGAAAGATGCCAAGCCTCAGGCTTTCTTTGCCGCAACAAAAAAAAAAAACAGCCCTGGTTCCCGAGAGAAGCTGGAAGCCTCGCTGGCTTAGCTGCCCTTCCCTGAAACGCAGGAAGTAGGGACAGCAACAAGAGGGAGTTTCCTCCCCAGCCAAGGCTGAAACTCAAGAGATGAGCCAGAGCTTTTTATAGCAGCCATTGCCTCTGGCTAGCTGCAGTTTTCAGCAAGGGAGACAGGAACAGTATGATCTGGCTTTCCTTACCGCTCAAACCTCGCCTGCCTTTCTCTGGCAGGGAGCTGCCGCACCACGCAGAGTGCTCCCCACGGCCTTCTCGCACCACCTCCCTCCTGACTTCGGTTCCAGTGACCTCCTTCGAGGTCAAGGCAGTCCAAGGCCATCTTCTTTCCTTACTGGGAGCCCAGCACAACCTGCTGACCGCCAGCCCAGAGAGCAGCACGGCCTCCTCTCCCGGCTGCACCGAGTCTGAAAGCCTCCAACTATACCTCCCCCTTCCCTACCTCCTCGCTCACTCGTCCCAGGGGGTTTCCAGCATTTTTTTCCCCCCCCAAGAACTTGCCTGAGACTTGTAAGAGCAGGTTTTAAAATTGTGAGCAAATGCAATAACCTACCACCACCGTCTTATGACCGCCCAAGTGTCTTGAACTCATAGCAGGGATTAAGATAATGCGCTTTCTAATCTAACCCTCCTGACAATACTGCCTGCTCCCTCATACCTTGGCTTTGCACTTTGTCCAGATTATAGCCATCTTCTGTTTCTTAAGCCAGATCAGATGACTCAAAACAGAAAATAATTCCATCTCTTAGCCACGCTCCTGTTACACCCTTACAGTTTGGAAGATCTCTCCTCTGTCATCTCTAGGTGGAAGTTTGTTACCCAAACCCTTTGATCTCTCTTCCACAGTTTCATCCTGTGACCTCATACACTTTTGCACCCCAGTGAACTCTTCCTCCAGCCCAGCATTCACACCCTCGGGTAGCTGCAGACGGCTTTCATTACGGTGTAGCTGCAAACAACTGCGTTAAGGCTTTTCCTCTCAGTTTTGCTTTCAGTGGTTTGGTCTGAAAACCACTTTTTCACTTCCACTTTGCATCTTTCTTAGAAGAACCCTGAAATTTGCATCAGGCTAAGGCTGCCTCTGCAGTACGTCCTTGGAGGCGCAATTAGACGTTGCTCTAAGCCAAAGACCACGCTGCCACCCAGACAGGTGAGCTGCTACCCCACCACACGTTCCTGCCCCCTCCCTTCTGCCCACATCACCCAACACACAGCCAGGTGATTAGGCAACGAACTGACCTGGCTGAGAAGTTATTTTGGCCGGGTGGCCTCAACTCAGAGACATCAGGGAGGACAGAAAAGGGATTAAGACTTCTTTGACAACAGGGCAAGCTTCAATAAACTTAGCCATGACTATGACACCATACCATGAAGCATCTCGTCTATAACTCTTTGAGGAAATGCCTCTACCCAGGCAGCTCAAAAGTCATCAATTGGTTCCTTTTTCCAAGCCTAAGGCCTTCGAACCGGAGCTCCGAGGCCAGTGCAGTCTGGAGTGCGATCCGAACAAGCCGGAGATGGCGAGTGCAAGTGTGACAGAGGAGCCGAGCAGGACAAGACAAGGTGGCTGGAGCAGGACATGTACAAGAGGGACGGGACAGAAGTGACACACAGAGCACCCCTCCCCGCTGGCAGCAGCCAGGAAGATGTCCAAGACAGGCATTGTGCTTCCTTAGCAACATCTTCCTAACTGAACAGGCTGCCTTCCTTGCCAGATGCAAAAGTCAGACGAGAGAGCGCATTGAGAAGGGGAAGACAAACAGACAGGCACCACGTTAGCAAAGAGCCCTTAAATTTGTCTCCCAAAGCAGAGTGGCTGTAAGGGTGAGGGTTTGCCAGAAGACGAGAAGCTACACAGAACACAGGAGAAGTTTGTTTGCAGACTCACCCTGCTCAGGCTCTTCCAAGAGAACCCCTCTTTTTACCAGCTCCTCTCTTGGCTTTCGCATAGAAATCTTTCGTTCTAAAACTGATATTAAATTGAAAAAAAAGAACTCAGCAAACAGCGTAAGCTAGAAGTTCAAGAAGACACTTTTTTTAAAGGGATCCTCCGGTGGAAATAAAAGGGCTTCAAATTGCACCGTTTTTTGCACGGATTCAGAGGAGGGACTGCACGTTCAGGCCTGCACTTCACACTAGATTGGTGATCGTGGAGCAAACCCTCCCTCCCCACAGCTGCTCGGGGAGGTTCCTTGCAAGAAAGGAATTTGTCTGAAACTACTGCTCCATGGCAAGGTGTTTTTGGAGAGACTGCAGGAGCCAGCCCATTGCCAAAGCCACATCTTGGTTCTTACACGTGCCAGCAGTCAGGCTTGTGACAGCAAGCCCTTCTCACTAGCCAGGTGGCTAATAGCAGGTTTCCCAAGCGGAGGAGGAGACTCCCACCCAGCCCCGATTACTCTACCTTCCGAGGTCTCCTTAAATTTGTCACTGCTTTTCTTTTTCCTCCACTTCCAGGGTTTGAAGATCTTGCCAAAGCTCGAGAACTTGCTTTTCCTCTTTGTAGGAGGGGTGGTGTCACCCGATTCCAAAACATCGACCCCCATGCCGGCATCAGTTGGGGGGTGATCCACCTCTTCGGCTGCACGGAAAAGAATAAAGAAGTTACCTCTGTGCTGCAGATACCAGCTGCCGTGTCCCCCCAGCCTGCCCCTTGCACGCTGGGAAACGGTAGTGCACGTTCATGCAAAGAAGGTAGCAAGACTCCATGCCTTCACGGAACCCGCCAGCAATTCACATGAGCTTGGGGAGACAAGAGTGGGGGTTCCCATGTTAACAGGGCAAAGGGTAACCGATAAGGGGCTTTCTAACGAAACACGGATTAGTTGAAATTTGCAGCGTCGTAGCTTCGCCCAAGGAACACAAATCGCCTTGCTGCAGTTTCTCATCGTCAGCTGGAAGCACGTGGTGCTAGACACAAGCAATTACACGAACACAAATACCTTCCAGACTGCAGAGCCGACGTTCATGACTGTCTGCACACACTGCAATTACCAGACCCATTACAACAGCTCGATGGGCTAGAACTCAGCCTCTCTGATTTTTCCCCTCTATGAAAAAGGCCGGCAAAGCTGGCCAAGAGTAACAACTACACAGGAAAGCAACACAATACAGGCCTGCGCTCCACCTACTGTACTCAAAGTCTCTGGAGAACGACACAAGAAGGACACGGAGGCGGGAAGGGACGCGCAAAAAAAAAAAAACCCAACCCACCCCAACTCGCTGCAACAAAAACGCTCGTAAAGAAACAACTTGAGAAGCAGAACCAAGAGCACGAAGCGCTAAGCTTGTGACTGTCAGTTCTGGCTTGCCTGGTGTTGCTGTTGTCTGGGTATTTGATGAAACATAAGGGAACACTTACAATCAGCAGAATCTAGCAATGCCTAAAAAAAAAAAAAAAAAAAAAAGAATAAACCCAGAGTGCTCACAACCTAAGCGAAGCCAGCTGGTGGCCTGCTTCATGGGCTGAATTTCCAGGCTGAGAATCCCTTGGCTTCGGCCCTGCAAAAGGCAGGAGCACCCCAAGCTGCGTCGCAGAACTCCGTGAAAACACCCCAAGATCGAGAGCCTCGAGACTTCCCACGTTCCTACGACACAGCCCCGCCGAACGCCGCGGGCCGAGGTGCTGCCTTCGCAGGTCACACTCGCGCGTCTTATTTTTGAGCCCCCAAGTCAAACGGGCTGGAGTTCGCAAGCCTTCTGGGATCACAAAAGGCCTTTTAGTCAACTTCAGACAAGCCTGTATGACGTGCCTGCAGAAAAGACAATACCCCGTAGGCCACGCGGAAAGTTCAGCCAAGAATCCCATCTCCTGAGGGTAAGAGATTGGGAATGGAATTTTAGGGGAAAGCCATTTTGCGCACAGGACACAGAGCTAATAATGCATCTGCTATATCCTACAAGCACCCACCAAGGACACAGACTCGGATGTGACAAAGCAGATTCCTGTCAACATGGGGAAGAGCAGAATCGGGACAGGGAAAACAATAAAAAAAACCACCAGGAAAAAATGGGTTGTTTGATGGAGCTCTACCTGCAACCCTGCAGGTGCTTCCTAGCATGAGATTTCAGACCCCAGGAAGCATCAGGCACAGGGAGCCTCAGCCACAGGCTCCTGAGCAGCCTCAGGCCGGCTGGGCTGGGGACAGGCTGTCATTGCACAACACCGCAGGACAGACGGACCCCAATTCTTCAGTCTGAGCATAAATGAAATGGAAGATAACTGAATAACAGGGAAGAGAAGAGCAACACAGACCATGGGAAACTGGAGAGTATTTCAGTACGAGGATCTAGTAGGATCAGGCAAGAAGCGCAGACTTTAACCAAATGAAGAAAATCAGCCCAGGACTCAGGTTTACTAAGTGGCTGAAGTGGCAAGGAAATGCCACTGTGCTAGCCAGCAGGAAAAAAAAACCAACCAAACAATGATTTTCCAAGCTGATTGTGTCTGGCTTAGACTTTACCTAAAAGGCCCGACCCTTCCAGCGCTGTACAGGTTTCCCTCATCTCACTCACGGGCCTCCAGATTTCACACAGTGGTGGCTGATGGGGTTCTTCTGTTTGGTTGTTGGTTGTATATTTTTTGTTAAAAATCAGCCCCCTAACAGAAAGGTCCCTCAGAATCAGTGAAAAGCTGATGCCAGCCAACATTCATTTGAAAAAGTAAGATCAATTCCACATCTGAGCTGCTACTTTAAAAAAAAAAATCTGGCTTCGTAATAGGAGAGAAATTGGGTGGAAAGTAACATACAAGACGTCAGCACCGATCGGTGATTTTCTGTGGCTCTATTCTGCGATTTTCTGCTGGAAGGGAGGGTGGGAGGAAATGGGGACCAAAAGAAAAAAAAAAAAAGGCATTTCAAGCTCCCAGAAACCCAAGATGAATTGTCTGGATGTTTAGAGGCACTTTCTTCATAGACTAGAACATTAGCCCTGGAGTTGTACACGTAATTTTAAAAAGCAGTATTGACTTTGTTCGACAGAGCGTTCCCAAAGTTTACCAGGCAGGCAAGACCGCTTGCCAGGCCCAAGCTGTGGACTGAATCTGGACCCCAAGTGCCACGCAAAGGCACTCCCCTCCCCTTCCCAAGGAGCAGCAAGAGCACTGAAGGCAGTCGTACCAAGCTCACTTCATACATCCCCCTTCCCCGAACTGCTCTTAGGAATGTAACTTATGTGCTGTCCGCCACCCAAGGTGTCAAGAGTGCTGCGCTAAGCGAAATACGTTATTAAAAGAAAACTCAACCATCAGGTCCGCAGATTAACAGAGACCTCAAGCAAGCTGGGATGCCTCCATTTCCAATTAGGAGGAGAACGACAAGCATTCCCCCGCCACAGTCCCCTCCGAGCAGCTCCCGAGGAGCAGCGGACATGAAAGGACGAGCCGAAACTGCAGGAGACACACGATACCCCCAAAGCAGGAGCAGCGAAAAGCAGGGAGGGTGGGGGAGAGCCCACAGGCGAGTTTTACTCCAGGCAGAAGAACCTCTTTCAGCAGCTTCTGCAGTCCAGGTCTGGCTGGTAAATCAAATACCATCGCGGGGTGGAGTTTCACACCAGATGCCTGACTGCCATTAATTGCAATCACGCAGGTTAATACCAAGCTGGGTTTCACAATGACATCCAGCATCGATATTGAATAACTCCGGTTTTGCTCCTCTGCCACGCAACTCCGTCAGCCACGCTTGCAGGCTTGGGCTGTGCATCAGGTCTTGTCCAACACGAAAACGCTCAGTTTTGCTGTTTTATGTCTAAAAATAGTCAAGCCAGAGGGGGAGACAAGCACACCCTGCACCCCTGCACAGCATAAAACCGGTCCAAATCGTTTGCACCGTCCCCTTTTGCTCTGTGTATACACGTTACCGACCAGCGTGAACATCCAGACACCGCTAGAGCCCACCGGGCAACGCTGCTGCCACGAAAGGAATCTCCCTCGCCGATACACACTGGGATTCGTTCTGTCCAGTTCTGCAGCCCAGGCTGCTCGCAGGAGAGGCTGTCGTGCCCTTCCACAGCACTCTTCCTTTTACCATCCATAATTACACCACATGGACACAGACATTTAAAGCAGTCTGTTGTGATGCAATTATGAATTACATTTACTGCTAATTAGCGGGTGGATCAGCAGCTGTAGGTGTGCTTTACTGAGCTGTGTTTTAAATAACCTCATTGTTCAGTGATTGTTCACATTAGATAGCACTCCTACTCCCTCAGAAAAGGACCTTCCCTTCCATTCACAGCCCATTTCCAGCTCAAATTTCCAGGAAACGGCGCAGAGAGGACATTTGTTGCCCAAGGTGCCTTCCCTGCGAAGGGAGCCTCGGCAAGGTGGACTCTCTGCGCCTCCTCTTGCTCTGCTCTACAAGGTACAGGAGGGTCCCTAAGCCACTTTGCAATGCAAGGCAGAAACCCCTCCTTACCAGAGTCATGCACTGGGAAACTGCTAAGGAACCACAGCCCAGTGCTCGGGGAAAGAAATGGGGGGGGGGGAAGACAAGCTGGAGCTTAAGTGAAGGCTGAGAAGCATGAGGAAGCCGATGCCCTTGCCTGGCCCTTGCTCAGCACCACGGCTGTTTACCTGCATGGCAAGTCCGTGTCCAAGAGACCAGCCTCACCTTCTTCACTGCGATCCCAAGCTGGAAAAGCCACTTAAAATTTATGAAAAAGGTTAAATTGAGGTCATGCAGGAGAACCCAGGGGAGTCCTCATTAGAAGGTCCAGAGCTTTCCAATAAGCAGGTCCCTAACACACCCCCATGACAAAGCATGACCTTGTTTAACCTTTCTGCAAGAACTACCTGAAGTACCCACTTCAGAAAAGTGACCCTGAAGCAGGGAGAGCCCCCCCAGAGCTCCCCCCGACACCAGCACACCATGCCTAACGCGCTGCCCCAGCTGAGAAAACCCCCAGAACAAAATATCTACTGCAGCTTCTGCACATTGCCCCAGGCAAGCTTGGGTGCTTCTCCTTGAGAAGATGGCCTGGAGCTCCCAACCTGCCGTCCCTTGGACAGAACCCCAGGACCCAGGCGGTCCGGGGAGGGAGCTGTGCCCTGGCTGCTATCTCCCAGCTTCCCTCCCAGAGCCTGCTGCCATTTCAGATCTTCTCTCTGAAACACTGAACATGTCCTGATCCTGTTCCATCAAAACAAGCAGGTGAATCTGAGCTGTTTAAACAGCAGATTTGTGCTAACCCAAAATGTTTAGACTGAAATAGTCTAGGGAAACGTCACAAAATTGGCACAGCCTGGAGACACAAGAAGGCAGAAAGCTCCAGCGCTGCCAAGCAGCTAGGGATGCAATTCTCCATCAGTACGCCGGGCCAGCTGGTCTTTCAAACCCTCTCCCTGCAGACTGCTACACACATTTACACTCGAGCCTTGCTGTTAAAATGCAGGTGGAAAAAAGCTCCTCTCCCACTGCACCTTGTGTTAGGTGCAAACTGTTGTGCAAGGGTGATGTTGAGCCACCACAGTAATGTTTGGGTTTTTTTTTTTCCCGAGAAAATAAACCATTTCAGTGGAAGAATGTGGAGACTCGCAGTTGGTCTCCAAGCTCGTCGCACAGTCAGCGAGCGGCTGCGGTGCCGCACGTGTCATCTGCTCCCAAAGCTTTTGTCAGGCTCGGGGCTGCCGTTCCTATTCAAGATGGTAAAGCTTTCACTTCTACCGCTACTCCCAATGGGTCAAACCAGCAGAGCCAGGATCCGGGAGGCCAATTAAAAACACCACACGTGTTCACACCACTGCCATGCACGCAGGACGCTCACAACAGCAAGCAGCTTCTCTAGCTGACCTTTAGGAAATACCAACATAGAAATGTAATGGTTTAATGGTCACACCACGGTCCAAGGGAGGAAAAGCCATCACGTGAGCAAATATAGTTGGCCCCTGTCTTCAGAGATCAAGCCTCAGAACACCCTTTTGCACAGCAACACGCCACCCGCCTAGAAAAAGGCACAGTGAAGACTTCAGGTACCAACATGAATAAACAAGGAGCACTTCTTTAAGGATCATCTCTCATCGGGAAGATACCTGCAACGGTACATGAGACAGCAGCACCTCTGATTCACAGTATTAGAAAAAAAAAAAGAATTAAACCCAAGATGCATCTAGTGTAGGTCACTGTCAAATTAGTCCTGGTGACTTTTTAAGCAATTTTAACTCAGGCCACACACACACCATCAAAAGGCAGCACGGCTATGGAGAAGTTTTGTTTTGTTTTTAACTGGCACACCATTACTTAAGCTAAAAATCACTTCAAGATCCAAGTTAGAGACCCTAACAAAGCATGACTGAAGGCTGTGAAGAAATCAAAGAATCGCATTCTAGATGCTGACAATTCATATTATATTGCTATATGCCTGGGAGGGAAACTACTGATGGCCAGTGTTCATGAAGGAGATGGCACAATCCTCTAAGGATGAAGGGGCAGTGAGCCCCAGGACACGACTGCAGACTGAAGCTGTTAGGAAAAGACTGAGAACATGCTGCTCTTCTCCCTGAAGTATCTCTGCAGACATCCAAGAGTTGGTGAAGCAGACTTTATCTCCAAAAGATGATGTGCCTCACCACTGCCTGCACTACGACAGGTTCTTCCCCCTAGTCCTTTTCAAAGATGTAAGAGCTGTTAAATCCGATCTTAAGAGACCCTTCTCACAAAGGAAACAAGAAAGCAGCAGTATTTTGCTTTGTAACCAGACTTGCACAGTGTGTAAATCATGAGCTTGAGCCAGATTCCTACCATCTGCAAACCACAGTTTACCCAGAACCTGATCCATCTCTTACCGTAGTAGTCACTACAGGATTTCCACAAATCCCCGGAGTTTCAGTTCACAAGGAGCTCACCGGGCAGTTCTGTCTCACAGTCATAGCCTCAAGGCTCACATCCAGACAGAACGGCAACGGGGAGGTTGTGCTACAGCAAAAGACAGTGTGAACACTCAGCTGAGAACTAAAAGGCACTCCGAGACAAATTAGGCACTCTGCTGCCACTCTGCAAATTAGAACACTTCTGCTTAACCACCTTCCTTTTCCTAAGTTGCACACACACTCCGAAGTTCTGCTATCGCACGAGCCCAGAAGGTGCATCACGGACTTTCGCTGAGAGCGTGGCTGCTCGTTACACACCCGACACCCCTGCGCCTTCAGAGCGGGACCGGCTGCTTTGCACCATCAAGCCTGCAAGGGATCCTCACTGGCTACACCAACAAACCATCCCGTTGCCAAAACAGCGTTGATGCACAGGCTGGAGAATAATTCAGCTCCCTCCTCTTTGGCTCTGTTGTGCCGGGCAGAGCGGTGAAGAATCCAAAAAGCTTTCAAGCAAACAGCTACAACTCAAAAAGCAAACAAAGACTCTTTTGAGGGAAATGCTGTTAAGGTTAAAGTATCAAAAAAAAAGCACTTTAGGTAAATGTTTCTAAGCTTCCTGTAACAGCTTTAAAAACTTCATGTGCATTTCCTGAATGGTCCAGGGAAGATGTGAATCCTGACCTTAAAGCAATAAAAGGCTGCGATCACAAAACAGCCTCAAACAGTCCCAGCCCTCGGCTCCCCTGTGTTTTGCACATTTCTAATCACCATAATCTTCACAAGACTTCTCTTTGCAACAGCATCCTGCCAAAGTGAAGGCAAGAACCATCTCTTCAAGCTCCCAATTTATTCAGTAGGAACCACGCAGGCTGTGCCACGAAGAGACTTCAGATAGCAAGTGACCAGCCGAGGAAACACCAGATCTGGTCTGCTGGCCTCCCATCTCCAGCTAAGGACAATGCATTACACCAAGCCAGCCCAGTCCCCTGAAAATTACCACCATCTCTGGTGCTTGGTGAGCGAAAGAGCCCAGGACTGAACAGGCTGGCTTCTAACAGCGGGTAAATCCAAGGAGAAGATGCTGTTCATCTCCATCAACAGTACGAAGACTGAAGTTTTCCTTCTCCCTTCCACTCTCTCAATACCACTTATTTTTAGCAGCTCTTGAACAAAACTAGCTGGAGTGAACTGGGGGTGGGGAAGAGAGAATCACTGGTTTAATCCAAGCCCTAAAAATCCTTGGTGGGTTCAATGTTACAAAAGTGAAAAAGAATAAAAAAATTAATCTGTATCTCAGGGAGCTCTCCATGTGCAAATGTCAAGTGTTTCTCTAATTCCACTTTATGGATGAGAGTAAAGAACTCAGCCCAAATAGCTGACAGCGAGTCAGTATGAGACAAGAGGGAGCAGCACGATGCGTAAAGTCTCCTCTCGGGGTCAGTGCATGGCAGTGCCAGCGCTGGGAGCAGCACCTAAGACAGAGACCTGGAAATAACACCCACCACCACAGTGTTCTGGAAGTAGCGCTACTTCCAGGACGTAAAGCAAGGTTTGGTTTGCCCCAGCCTGCCAGTCACTCGGATACCTCGCAGAGTTGAGAGAGAAAACAAGCAGGGAGATGAGTGCCAAGCCCTTTCTCCCTCCAAAACTACTACGGCTGCCCCAAAAACCTGGGGGACACCAGGCAATTCTGGGCAGCTCTGGCCCAGGCAGACCACGGGGGCTGGCTCCTACCCCACTCAGGTGAATTTTACCGCTGTCCAAAAACTGAGGTGAATATTCACCTCTGTGCAAAGCTGGTATCCCTGAACCTGGCCAGGCAAGACACAGGCTATCCCTAAAAACAGCAGCTCAGAGCCTGTCTGAAACTCCACAGAACACGTTGCACAGCGATTGCATGTGACATGACTAAGAGAAAGGAAGGAAATGAAGTTATTTCTCTGGTTTGTCTCCCCAGCTCCCGAGCCAGGCGCAGGTTACACAAGCCCTGCATTCCACTCCTCCCAACTCCTCCGTTTCACCTGCAATCCTGCCCCGCCGCAGCCCCAAAGTTTCCTCCGTCTCCCTTGCCCTCCATTACTCACCAAAAGCAGCTGGATTTACCGGTCTCGAGAAGTGCGGCTGCCCCATTAGATTCTTTTCTAAGCAGCTCTCCGGGAGAAGGCGGGAGAGGGGGAAGAGAGGGGGAAAAAAAAAAGTCTACCCTGAGAGAGCACTTTAGTCCTTTAAAATGATAAATCCACGCTTTGGGCTAGGAAAGAGCCTGGCGAGCGAGGCGGCTGCCAACTCTCAGGCAACGGCACGGGTGTCCGATGGTCCAGCGCAGGTCCTGTTCTCCTCGTAGCCCATGGCCGGCACTTGATTCTCATAAATAGGCGTCCGTGCCAGCTCCCTTCACGCAGGAAAAAACCTGTCATTCCAGAGCCGAGCAGGCTAGGGCCGAAGCTCAGGAAGGGGAGGAGACAGCCAGCCACGCTCCAGCCACTTAGCTGCATAATCCAAATCATCAACACCCCTCGCTCCTTCCTCACATCAAGTTTAGCAAGAAGAGAGAAAAGCTGGGAGCAAGGAGAGAGGGAGACCGGGGCGTTTTGGTCAAGGAAGGGCTTGGAGAAGCCATGGACACCAATACACCGAGGGGTTTCAGCTCCCAAACGCGTTCAAGGAGGCAATAACGTACCTGAGCCTACAAAATACCAAGCAAGGCGGTCACGAGTGAGGAAGCCTGCTACTCTGTCGTAGAAGCTGCACTGTCCTGAGAGCAAAGGGAATTTCAAGAAGAGTGCCTGAGCTGACGTGCATCTAGCCAGACACATAATAAAAATACAATTTCATAGCAATTCCTCTCTCCTCCAAAGTTACCAGGAAGAAGGTAGGAGCAGGGAGCGTGTCTCCTCATTTAATTTAAATTTAACAAAGGAAAATGTAAATTTAACAAGGAAAGTAAGGGTTTATTTTTCAGTCATGTGTCACATCTTGATCGTGAAGGTAACAAATATCCCCCTCAGCACTGGCACCACGATAAGAAGATATCCAGAGTTTAAACACGTCCACTTGGATTCTTTATAATCTTTCATCAACATTTGTGTTAGGACTTCAGTGAACCTCCAGATCATTTCCAAGCCCTCTAACACCAGACCACAGAGGAGTGGGAAAACCTTTAAACATCCAGAAGCTTAATCTTCACTTGGGGGAAAAGGAAAAACAATTTTCAAAACCATACAGGAATTGGCTGCAGCGTCACACCAGTGACTAATCAGGAACCCGAACCTGTGACACATCCAGGTTCGCTCTCTCCCACTGTAGGAAGGGCTGCAGAAAAAAGCAGTTTTAAACACATCAGGATTTGCTGCAGCCCTCGAGGTCCCCGTCCTTGTCAGGCCAGCAGCCGCAGTACTTCAGTATCGCTGAATATCACTCAGGCGGCCAGGAAGAGTTCGGGACAAGCTCACTACTGCAGCAAGTCCCAATAATAAGAAAAAAAAAAAAATCTTCTATTCTGGGAAACGACAAAATCCAAGATTGTCAATTTGGGCTGGTGCAGCTGGGAAGAATCAATGCTGCTCATCAGTCAGGACGGACACCCGAAGCGAACGCCCGCTTCGCAGCGGCAGAGATCACCATTCCCGACCGCGTGCCGCAGCGGGAGGCAGTTTTGCAGCCAATACACCCCAGAAAAGGGAAGGGAGTCGTTTTGAAGTCTAATAAAACTCCACCTAAGCCACAGGCACACCTGGAAGCCCTTGATGCTCTTGGTTCCTCCACTAACATACTAGACATGCCATGGGACAACTTGCAAATCCGTTCCTCTCTCCCGAAGCACAGGGGGAAGCAGGATACCCTGCACCTTCTCCACCTGCACCAGCACCCTGCTCGTCTTCAACCCCTGGCCTGCTGAGGAGATGACCACCGTCCCCACGTCCAGCAAGAGCACGGCAGGCAGGAGCAGGTGGAGGAGCAAGGGATCAGCAGATACGTGGAGGCGGAGGAGCAAATAGCACCGTCCTCCCTCGCGCAGGAACATATGGACGTTCCTGAAAGCGTTGCTCTTCTGAGCCTCCCACCACCAGACATCGCTGAATTCTGAAGGGGAACCTTCACTTCTGTCTGGTCAGCCACAGCAGTCAGTCCTTCCAAGCACTCTTGATTTTCACTGTGGGCAATTACCGTACTGATTCACAGGCATGCTCCACCTCATTTAAGACTCTTTGCTTTGAAACAAAGAAAAAGCCATTTTAAAGCCATTTAAATACGCTGCCATCTGGCAGGCACCCACAAAGTTCGGAGATAGAGGCTGGAAGACTCCTCCAAGTCTGTAAATCAGCTGTCCAACTTGGAAGGAGGTCTGGAAAAAATATCCCTGCATCTGGGAACGCTACAGAACGCTAAACACCGCATCTCGGCTTGCCTGACTTCCAAGGAGATTAAAGCCGTTGCAATTTCATGTTGCATTTGCCGTGAATTCGGAGCGCACAAAGCTCTGCTGCAGTACAGATGACACATGGGAAGTTGCTGAAGCATAGCAGCACAATCATATGCCTGACCCCCTTATTTCTACGTTAGTAAACCAGGAGCTATTAGCTTAAATTTCAATGAAAAAGATTTAAACAAAGGCATTTAAATTCCCAGCAGCTGCAGTCCAAGAGCACGCACGACAGTTACTCAGGCTCCGGTGCCGCACGGGCTTTGCAAACACCATCGTGCAATAAAGCCCTTTCACATTTCTGCATCGTCGATCAGGCCTTACGACCCGTCGCAAAGAGAGCAACAAGACTATTTGGCAAAGGCACCTGTAACAAGGTTTGTACCAGAAGCGCTAATATGACCTTCCGAAACGCGGGGCTGCGGTGCTCGGGGAGCAAAGAGATACAAATCGGTGTTTCAAATTGCGACCGGGTTTGGACTTGAAACATCCTTTAGGAGTATCAGGCACAACTCTCTCCAATTTGGGGTAGGAAGAACAATGTGACAAAACCTCAGCCTCCATCCAACTGGACCCGGAGGATAAAGGAAGATTTGCATTTCAAGCAAGGACAAGTAAATGTCTGAAATTCCCATAATGATGCGGAAGGGCCACCTGACTTAACCATGCAGCAACCAGAAGAAACCAGAGCAAAGCCTTTACTCCTCTGGGACAGGTGAAGACCCTCATGAGAAGGAAGAGCTCGGAATAGCAAAGAGCTTTCTACAGAAAAGCAAAAAGGGATACAGCGCCTAGTCCTTTCAATATTTTCTTCTAAAAGTGTAGTAATCAAGAAATCCCAGTTACACGACAATCTCACAGGATTTCAGAAGAGTCAGATAGCTAAAACAAAATGAGAAGAGGTGCCCAGTTACGGGCAGTAAACGCCCAAGAGAAGTGGAGTACAAGGCTTTCCTCTGAAGTTTCATTTCCTCTCCATCCCGTCCAGCATCCCATTAAAAACCCGGCATTCACATATTAATGGTCTGTTTGTATACGCTGTAAAAAGGAACTCTCCTAGATTGTTTCACTTTAAAATCTAATGAAAGCCATAATGAGCACAAATATTAGCTCCTTTAATAAAGACACTGTTGTTCACATTTCGGTTCACACCAACGTGAAACACCGCATTCATCTGCAGTGACTCAGACATTTACGTTCCATGATTCAGCCACAGGAACATGAAAAAGGACTCTTGCATTATCCCATCCATGCAGAGCTGCCTATTTAAAACCAGTGATACTGGGTGTTTTCCTTTAGAGCCCATCAGCAAGAGAGTCAACAGTAGCTACAGGATATTTAAGGCTCTTCCCTTGCTGGAGACGCACCCACTTGAAAGATTAACACAGGCCCACGGTACCATTTCACCAGGAGGACTGGAAGGGAGGAGAAGTGGCAACACCACAACTCTGGATGCGTTTCACCCCAACCTGCTAGCAATCCTCAGCAGCTTTGGCAGAGAACGTGAAAAAAATCTATCATCTATACGTAACAGCTCCGGCTGCCGACAGAGATGACCCTTTCTGGACTGTGCTCCGAAAGAGAGCATGTGGAAGAGTTATTAACTGCAACAGCAGAGCAAGGGGAAGCAAGTGTGTAGGAAGCCGGGTAGTCAATGTGAAGGGTCACAAGGCGACACAACGTGACGCTTTTCCTTTCTCCCCACATGGTATTAAAAGTCAGCCCGACGGCCAGTGTGGAAATGGAAAATGGTTTATTTATAAGCCAGCTGGCATCGCATTGTTTAGGTTCTGGGTACTTTGATGCGAGGGCGCTGGTTCGGATGGGACAGAAAAGTGAGGTAACTGCTCCTAAACCACATGATTTCCTCCACGCTTCCTGTGACATTTCCAAGAGGGAAACTCCTATTTCCCAGAGCATTCCAGTCCCCTTGTCCCCCCCCCAAGTCAGTCAGCACGGCGACAGCGGCTGCTCGATCGTAGAAAGCACGGGGCAGCAGATCTAGCACACCAGGGACCGTCCTGGTGCCACCACGTATGTGCTGGCGGTGCAAGGTGAGCAACTCATGTCCTACAGCAGCCCAGATGTGGACCGGGATGGAGCACAGCTGGAGGAACACCACTGCTGCAGGCTCAGCAGCAGCCTCTGCCAACGAGCTGACCGACAGCACGTTCAGCCTCACGTTTAGGAAGGGAAACTAAAGCTGGGGACATGCTCCTGGAAAGCCTTGTGATCGCAGCGGGTGGCTGGAACACAAGGAATTGCTTAATTGTCACAAAGATCAGGCTAAGGAAAAGTGCATGTAGGTCTTGGGGCCAAGAGAAGCTTAAGGCCAAAATATCCACCAGCCTTGTTTTCCAGCAGAGGAAGGGCAACTTTCAATGAGAACACATTTTAGCCGGTACTGAAGACATATCATCTTCAATGCCTCCTCACCATTCACTGTAATTACACCATATGCTAAATATTTTCTTGTTTACTAGTGAGGGGATGCTAAGGAATGTAATCCTGACAAAATTAAAGATTCAGTCACATCTTGGCTAACTTGATCACCGCAGTGATTCATGGCTATGCCATCTTGAAGCAAGGGAACCTCCAAAGCTGACAAACTACTTTTTGGAGCACCTTGAAGCAGCATTAAAAGAAACACTGGTCAGAAGCCAAAGGAAGCACAGATATAGGACACATTCCAGCAAAGCATCAGGCA